AGTTTACCTGCTGTAATGGCTTTGCCCTGAGAGCTCTGTCTCCAGGAGAGCAGAGCTGGGACTGGGGACAGGAGTGCTCACTCATTGAATATCAAATATCTGGGGTCAATTTTATTATTGTGGTATGTGGCCACACCTCTGCTCAGATGAACAGAAATTATACTGATTTACACAAGCTGAGATCTGTCTCACTTGCATTCAGAGCAAGTTTTGCCATGAAAATGGGGATTAGATACACTACCTATATGTTGTGGTGACCCATTGGGGCTTGGGGGTCCAGTCGCACAAACTAAGCTGAATTTCTTCGTCTTTGGTGTTTTTACATTACATGGCTGCTCCAAGGGGATAGCTCAGCCCTTCCACTCCATCCTTGCATCGAGACAGGTAAATGGGGTTTTACACAGTTTATTCTGCCTCCATAAGAAATCCTTTTTGCAGAGGAGGCTCAGCCTCAGTGACACTCTTGGGTCAGCATTTCTCTTTTTTCCTTGCTGCCTACCCCAGAAGTAGTCACATTTCTGACTGTCTCAGCATTACTGGCTTGTGCTGTCAGGACGCAGATCTTGCCAGTGTGTATGAAGACTGTGGTATAAATCGCCTCCTTCCAGTGACTTAACCAGAGCCCTGACAGCTTTCGTCGGTGTAGGGTATGGATCTTCCTCTTGGCTCCTTCAAAATAAACAACTATATAAACTGTAAGATGATTATCATCAGAGCTTATTAGTGTATTACCACATGCTGCTTTGTATTCAGACAATAGATAAAAACGTCTGTGCTTCGTTTTTCTCAGTCAGATCCACAGCAAACACGCTAATTCTTGCTCCCATCTGAGGAGGACTGTGTCAGTACTCTTGCCAAAAACACATGAAAATCAGCCGAAGTCTTGTGCACTTGCCTGTAGCAACGTAACCAGCTGGCACGGAAGCTCTGCACACCTTTGGGAGTGTTTAATGTTTTCCAGGCGGTGACATATGTTGGTTTTAACATTTGATTTATTGTCTGGTTTAGATGATAATCTCGTCAAGGCATGAGCTGTCTTCTTGCTTTGGTTATCAGGGCAGGTGGAGGTATAGAGGGATTGATGAACTTGGCTTTCAGAGGGTTTGCCTTATGTACTGCATGTCGGGAGCACAGGACCTGCCATCTCAGTAGAAGGAGTGTTTCCATGAGCAGTAGAACCAGCCCTGCAGAAACATCTAAACTTGCTGCTCTTTTACACTCAATAGAAGTTTTCGTCTGTTCATGCTAACGTCACCTAAAATATGGAGGGTCTGTGCTCAACAAACCAGCCTACAGTGCTTGACTTCTTTTTTTTTTTAATTATTTTTTTTTTCAGTTCAGTTCTTGCTGTTTCTCCCCAGGCTACATAGTACTCAGTCTGGTAGCTTAGACATACAGTATGACCAAACTTCTGGAAATGATGGGAAGCAAATGCACCGATTCAACCCATAAGCATGTTGGACAGAGTCACAGTTTGTACAACGGGCTAAATATTATCCTAGTACTTTGGGGAGCGTTTCATGCAAGACAAGCTCGAGGCTTCTTAGAAGCGAGTTAAAGGGGCTGGTACTAAACGTCAGTGAAAATGTAACGCTTGTCTGTTGAGCAGTAGCATGTGGTTTTGTGATGAGGAAAAAATCATGCACAAATGGAGTATGCTTTTCACATCCGCAGCCTGTCCCCCGCCATGTCAGTAACAATTGGCCTTTCATACTGCCCCGCCAGAGCCGCTCCGCCGTGTAGAGAAGGATGGGGTGAAATCTTGGCAATGGGCAAAGCAAAAAATGGTTGTCAGATGTGCTGGGGGGGCAGGGTTTTAGCCAGGGTCTCTGTCCTAAAGAGGCTGAGAGAATCATCTGGCCCTAGTGGGATTACGTGGAAGGAAAATTTGGTCTTCCAAGGAAAAGTGAGAAATGTAGTTGAAATCCATAGGTTTCTATCCAGCCAAGCATGCTGCTTGTTGATGATGTGATCTTTTAAACATGAGAAAGTGGCTTACTTTCCCTAAAACTAGGGATTATGGTGAGGAATTGCATTAAGACTGGTTGAGATCTCAGCTGGTGCTTGGTCTCCTCCCCGTCCAGCAGCTGTTGCTTGCAGTGGAAATTCTTGCTGTTCCCAAGAATTTCTCCAAAGATAGTTTAGAAACCAGCAGACTTGATCATGTTTCTTCTTGCTCTGAAAATTTTGGCTTGTCTTAACTTGGACAAAAGGTCTTTGCAGCTCTTATTAGCCTCAGCGATCTCACCTCTGTGATCACCCTCTCTCCCTCTTACGGGATTTTCTTTTTAGAGGAGAAACTAAGACAGTTCCTATACATTTGGTTCAAGGAGAAATGTACAGTACGTGACCTTAATTAGGGGTCAAGACATTTAACCTGCACAACATACAGATTATGCATATGGGAAGTTATTTCTGTGTTTGTGGAAGTCCCTGAAGTGCAAGCTGTACGTTGTCATCATACATAACACGGTGCTGGGCAGGATGGAGGAGAGGAGATTCCCTCATTTGAAAAATGGAGGGTTTTTCTCTTTTGACATTTAGCTGTGACTGTAGGTGGGAATGTAACTCCCAGAGCTGTGTCCTGCTGGCACTAGTTGGATTATGGTATGGTGATCGGAGGCAAGAAAGAGCAAGGAAACTTTGTTCTCATGCCTACTTTGTGGACAGAAAAAGCATAGGGTGAATCACTCACATTTCATTGTCTTTAATATTGTCTTTGGGCATTGCTATGATTTGAATGGTGCTCTCACAGCATATCTCGGGTCACGTGCTGACAGCAAATGTTTTGGGGGGTTATATTTTAGATTACAGCCCAAATTCAGATATAGCTGCTTTGGCTGGAGGATCTTTTTCCCATAAGTAAAACTTAAACTCAAATGCGAATGTTCACAACTGGTTTTATTTTGTCTCCTTTCATGCACTTGCCTACACGTGTGGGAAGGTGGGTAAGTCATGGGGGGAAAAGCTGGTTAGTAAAGCTGTGAAATGACTGTGAAAAGCCCTTTCTTTGGATGGGGTCTCCAGTATACAGTAAGGAATGTGGGACCCCCCAAGCAAGTGCCTTTATGGTTCAATCATTTGGATTAAACTGAAATAGTGATTTAGGAGAAAGGGACTGGAGAAACTAGAAAATAAACTTGGAAGTCTGATATCTTCTTCAATATGAAATCAAACCATTAGGGGGTTATGCTCTTGTCTTTTTGAAAAATGGTCCAAGCTGGCTTTTGGGCCTCTTTGGAAATGAAGAGTCAAAGTGTTTTGTTTGGAAAATATCAAAATGAAAGAATTTCTGGGGAAAAAAAAATACTCTATACTATAGGCTGAAATAAAATTATATTAGTTGGTGGCTCAGCTTGCACTGTGCACACAGCAGCCCTGCAGTCTTGGCTCCTAAGCACCACCTGGGTCAGCCTGCGGCACCGAGTACATCGGCCTTGCTCAGTGGTCTCTGAGAACGAAAAAGTTACAGTCCTCTTCTTAATGGAGAACAACCCCTGTGGTTATTGGGAAAGCCTCCAGAAGCTTGTGTGGGGAAGTGGGGATACAGATCGGAATGCCAGCAGTTTCTGGAGGCTTCCCCAGAGCAGGTAGCCCAGAGCAGTCCTCGTCCCCCCTCAGCTCTGACCCCAGCCAGTGCCTGCAGCCAGAAGGGAACAAGCAAAACTAAAATGGATGGGAAAACCAAAATGGATGGGAGCAGGTGCCTGCAGAAAGCGTCACCACAGCTGCTCCTGCGCTGTACGGCTTGTGTCAAGAAAACTGATACCAAGGAAATCAGCTGCCCTCTCTTGAGCCTTATCATTAGGATGGATTTTTCTATTTTATTTTACTTTTTTACTGTCTGAAAAACCTCCCTGAAAATGCAATGGCCATTCAAATTTGGGAGATGGCCACCCATTGCCCCTGTGATTTGAGTGAGCATCGCTGTTGCCCATGTGGGGAAGGAGGGTGGAGGGCACTGCCTTCTGCAGCATACGTACAAAACCACTCGCCTGGCTTCTTCGTGAATAAGTGGTCGCTGCTGAGTGTTGAAATTGGCCATTCAGCAATGGCTGCCTCTTCTCCTTTCTCCACACACACGTGCTGTTGCCCGGTTCCAGCCGGTGAATTTTCTTCTTTTTTCTTTGAAGAGTCAGTTCCTCCTCGGCTCACCCGAGATGAAGGGAGCAGTGTGACCGCGCTGCAGGGGAAGCTGCTCTCCTGGCTCTCTGGGCTGTGTCATAGCCACAGAAACCAACCTTCCTGCCATGGCAGGGTTGGGTTTTTTGGTTTGGTTTTTTTTTTTTTAAAAGGCAAAACAAAAACCACCTGTTGTTCCTGGCCTGCTGCCTTCTTGTTTTTTATTTCTCAAACTTGAAAATGAGGGAGAAGAAGGTATCTAAGTGCATTTTTGTCTGCCAGCAGAGCCAGGACTGGACCTTGAGCTCCGGTTTCATCCATCACCGCCGGTTCTGCCAGCAGTTCTGGCCCCGCAGACGTAACGCACCATTTAATATTTGCTGTATCCCAGGTTAAGCAGTGAAGAATAGCAAGGCTCTGGCTTCTCAATGGGATTTGGTCACTGGCAACTGGAAATTATCTGGAACTTGACAGCTGCGCTGACCCAGGGTGATTTTTGGCATGGCCGCATGGGCCCAACCCCTATAGGAAAGGTATTCAGATGATAGAAGTTTTGCACACGCCTTTGGTGGCAATTAGTGATCCTTGTAGATGACGCAGGAGTAAACAAGCCACAGCGGAGGGGTTGTCTGCACTTCGATGTGATGGGTCTGGGTTGTGGTAGAGCTGTCGGGGAGGGTAGATGCTGCCACTCCTGTCCAAAAGGACTTTGGATGTCAGAGTGCATCAGGGAGGGGGTATAGCCAAGGAAAACCCCTGGGATGCTGCCTTGGAGTACTGCCTTCATCCTCGCTTCTTCGGCACCAGATGAAAGTTGCCTTGTGCGTGTTGCCCTCTTTTCATTGCTAACTGAAATCAGAGATGATCTCTTTCTCCAGCAGGTTTAGCACACTGGAAGCATGGCTACAAGTGCCGTTCCCAGCGAAAACCTCCCCACATACAAGCTGGTGGTGGTTGGAGACGGAGGCGTGGGGAAGAGCGCTCTCACCATTCAGTTTTTCCAGAAGATTTTTGTGCCGGACTACGACCCAACTATTGAAGACTCCTACCTGAAGCACACAGAAATAGACGGGCAATGGGCAATTCTTGATGGTAAGCAAGCTACTCTTATGGTCCCCTTATGTTCTAGCTGAGCGTAAGCACAAATCAACCTCAGTGCCTCCCCCAGCGCGTTGTGCCCTTGTGTCTCTCCTACTCTGCTGTGGGCTGCCAGGAATTTGAGTGAAAACTGGTCTGTGAGCTGCGGACCGTGGTCTGCAGCTGACCTCTAGCAAAGCTTCTGCTTCCAGTTGTGTTGGTTCCAGTTCTGCACAGAAATGTTTCTTGCAGGAGCATGAAAACCTATAGATCATCAAACATTTGGGGTAGGCTTCTACGAAGGGTGAATTATAGCACTGTGAGGTGGCTATTGCTAATGATACTTCATTGTGGTTAGGCTTATCCCCTGGGAAATAACAGTGAGTGGGTAACTGAGTGAGTGTTATAACCAGAAAGAACATTTAATCAAAACTGTCATCCACTGACAGTGAAGAATTGCAACACCTCTTAACTCCCATCATTCAGGCGTGATGTTTTCATATCTAGTTACCTGTTGCATTTAAATACAGGTAGGGTACCAGCCTGGAGAGCTGCTGTAACCAAGATCTTTCAGTTCTTTGAAGAAAAATGGCGCTTTTTTTAAAACAAACAAACAAACAAAAAAAATAAAACAAAACAAACAAAAAACCCCCAAGCAAACTAAAAAAACCTCAAACCAGCCAACCCCCAAAAAAACAAAACCAAAAAATCTTGATTCTGCAGGTGAGGGAAAAGCCCTATATTACCTAAAGCTGCAACTTATTAGTTTGTGCTGCAAGAGACAGACTGACCACAGCCATAAGGGGAATCTTGCTGTTAAATGTTATAAGTTTTGTTTGGCTTTATACAATAATTAGGTAGTACATAAAAGCAAGCAAATATTTTGTGCCTTAATTACCCAAGTGCATGTATGTGGCCACTAACACAACTGAAATAAATTTAACCTCACTTGCGACACGTTCCTACCTCCATCCTCTTGTCACGAAGGCGCTCAAGATCTTTGGTGTCTCTGTATGTGCATTGGTGTGCAGGGACAGAAAACTGGGGGATAGGCATGAGTGGTGGAATGTGCATGGTGGTGGGGTTTGCTGTGAAGACCGTAAGCTTGGTCTGGAAACTTGAATCTTAGTTGCACTCTTAAGGATTTACCAGATACAGTTTAGTGAGTACAAATGGCCCCAAGGTCCTTAAAGAACAGTCATTACTCAGTATTTAAAAAAATAAAAAAAAATTAAAACCCAAGCAACTTAATCTTGCCAACATTTGTTCATTTAGATATGTTAGTAGTTGATTGCTGATAGGAGGGAATATTTGCGAAATTGGTGCCCAAATATGTCTCTTGTTGATACCTGCTCTCCATTAATCATCACATAATGTACCTATGCACCTTTATTTTTAAAATGGCAGTGTTGTATAAAACAAAAATCCAGTCCTGCTGTAAATGAAATCCATTCTTTCTTTTTAGTCCAGAGCCAGCCCTCTAACATGAGCAACCTTTATCTTTGCTGATATGCCCCATGTTCTGATATAACAGTACCGGCTGCTGTACACATTGCTGTTGGCTGAAACAGCCTGGGTTTTGTAAAATGTTTGGAAGTGGAAAAGGCATCTTTCACTGAATATTTGGAATTTTTGTTTAGTCAAAAAAATAAAAAACAACCCTGACCTGGGTGGGAGTGGGGAAAGAGGTTGTTTTCCAACAAGCGGAAACTTAACCCTTTGTTTTAATGCAAAAGCCTTTCTTTTGCTCAGATGGAGTTTAGTGGCTGTACTTGGGCTAAACTGAATTCAGCTGTGGCCTTGAATGGCATGTTGGGAATCCCTGACTTTCAGAGTTCCTGTGCCCACAGATGCCTTGCAGCCACAGAAGTGAAACTGCAGCTTCTCCTTCTCTTTCCTACCACTTGAGATTTTGAACAATCAGAATTTTGGAAGAAAGGCAAAATTCTTGCTTGGAAAAGCATGTGAGCCTTTGCCATCTGCCCAGTAGAAACAGGGCATAAAGACTGACTATCACATGTGTCTTCTGCCACAGCTTTCCGTCATAGGCTTTGGATATAGGCCATTCTTGGAGGTCACCATATACTTGGACAGCTGCGCTTGTTGTGGTTACACGTGGTTGCATGAATCACTTATGGTATAAAATTAGGGACAAACATGATAGGAAGGGTAAAGATGCATCATGATAAATTCTAGGCTTTCCAGTTGTCCTTTATGGCCAAATCCTTTACAAGCTGATGCTTTGTGCAGTGCTTGGTGGGGAGAAGAAGCTGCCCACCCCCAAAATAGGAACTAGTTTTAGAAGATGAGACTACCAAGTGAGGATATAGCGTGAGGGGCTCCATAAGCTTCTAAGCTTGCAGAAAATATAATTAAAAAAAAAGCCAAATACATCGGCATTCAACAACTTAATTAAAAAAAAAAAAAAAAAAAAAAAAAAAAAAACCCACCCTGTTCCAGGCTGTTGCCGGAGCAAGTCTGCACA